AACACTGTATCAAAAAAATATATATATATGACCCAGAAATTTCACAATTTGCCTAAGGTTATCATCCTAAGTAAAATAATAAAGATTTTGAGGTTATAAAGTGATACAGTAAAATCTCAAAGCCAAGTAGAAGTGTTTTGGATTCTATTTTGGGTTATTTCTTCTCATGAGAAATTGAGAGCCGACAATTTGAGAGTAGCACAGTTATCCCAGGCCAGAAAGGAAGAACACACTGAGTACTCAGTTGCCATTTCTCACTGCCTTCATTCAGAATCCTTGATTATAGAGGACTGATAGAAACCTTTACAGAAGCTCTTGGGAATGACTTTGAGAGGTGGCAGAGAAAGAGTGAGCTATGTTCGCATCAATTTGAAGACTATCCAGGGTCCCAAAGAGTATATACATTTTATCACTGGCTACCTTGAGAAATGACAGTACCTAGGACAAAAACACTACTTGCAACTCCTTTTTTTTTTTTTTTTTTTTTTTTTTGAGACGGAGTCTTGCTCTGTAGCCTAGGCTGGAGTGCAATGGCGTAATCTTGGCTCCCTGCAACCTCTACCTCCCAGGTTCAAGCGATTCTCCTGCCTCAGCCTCCCAAGTAGAGGGGACTATAGGCATGTGCCACCACACCTGGCAAATTTTTTGTATTTTTAGTAGAGACGGGGTTTCACCACTTTAGCCAGGCTGGTCTCAATCTCCTGACCATGTGATCCGCTGGCCTCAGCCTCCCAAAGTGCTGGGATTAGCCCGGCTCTAATTCATATTTTCTAAATGTTTATTCATATCACCATGAGAGAAAACTTTCATTTTCTTTATCTTTGAAGACAAGGTACTTTAGTGAGCTCATTCCTGACCCAATGTCTAATTTACAAGTGGATGTTAGAGTGTAGGAAACTCTTACGGCTTTCATGTTTTTCTCAGTATCTGTTATCATTCTGACTTTATGAGCCCAAGCTTTTCAAGTAGCTTTCATTCTCACTTTTTAAAAACACCTGCCATTTAAATTTTCAATAAGAACTTTTAGACTCCAAATTTAAGTTTACTTTTAAGTTTGCTAATATTAATCTACTACTTTTGAATATAAGAAGGAAAAGTTCCATTATTATACTGTATACAAGTTCTTGAAAATAGCAAAATCTCCAATTCCATTTTTTCCTAGATGTACTCTAATTCCAATTGTGGATTTGTTCTAGAATTGGACTCCCATTACAGAGACCCCCATCTCTACAAAAAAAATTTTTTTTTAATTAGCTGGGTGTGGTGGCATGCATCTGTGGTTCCAGCTACTCAGGAGGTTGAAGTGGGAGGGTCACTTAAGCCTAGGAGTTAGAGGCTGCAGTGAGCTATGATCATGCCACTGTACTCCAGCCTTGGTGAGAGAGCAAGACCTTGTCTCAAAAATGAATAAATATTTACAAATAAATATGCATGAATGACTTTTCAGGCATCAGAAAGGTACTTTTCCTGTTTCTTTCTTTCTTTCTTTTTTTTTTTTTAAAAGACGGGGTTTCACCATGTTGGTGAGGCTGGTTTTGAACTCCCGACCTCAGGTGATCCGCCCGCCTTGGCCTCCAAAGTGCTTGGATTACAGGCGTGAGCCACCACACCCGGCCTGACTTTTCCTGTTTCTATGTCTCTCTGATTCCTGTGTTCTCTGAACAGCAGCCTCTGCATTTCAACTTCTAACATCAGATGACATTGCATCCCCATTCCATTTCTCCTCTTATGGGAAAACTAGAAAATCAGTTCACTGAAAGTAGGTTCTGTTAGCATTGCTGGTTTATCTGGTAGGGTTTCCTCGTGGTTGGCCTGTCAAACACTGTTGATTACTTTATTGCAGGCCAGATATGATAACTGCCCTCAGCTGCTACAGAAAATGGCATAGAAGTAATTATTTGTCAAAGGTTTCACTGTCGTAGCAACTAGAACTTTTGAGAGTCCTTTGTAAGTCTACCCTTCTCTGAAAACAAGTGTTTTTCTGATTGGAGCTCAGAAAATGCACACAAATCCACAGGGCATGCTGCAGCCGTATTTAAGCAGTATCCCCTCCAAATGCTCACTCAAGAAAGTGTTTGTGCCCATGTTCAAAACACCCTCCCCCACTCCATCCAGTTCCACAGATGGCAACTGCTCACTTCTATTTTACCTTGATTTAGCCTACTTGTCTTACGTTCCTCTGGGTCAACCTGAAAGCAATGAAGGCTTCTGCACAGGACCCAGTGATTTTCATGAAGCCTTTCTGACAGAATTTGGTTAACAGTAAAGATTTTCCCCACAGGTTACATCTGCTTCTGGTAATGCCCCATTATATCTCCTGAGGTATTTATATAAAATAACCCCCAGGTGCAAGAAAAGTCAGTAAAAAGCACAGCCACAATACCCATAGTTATGGTATGGCGCTAAATTTTTATGAACCCAAGACAAAGTTTTCTTTTTCTTTTTCTGTTTTGAATGGAGTTTAGCTCTTGTCCAGGCTGGAGTGCAATGGTGCCATCTCGGCTCCCAGCAACCTCTGCCTCCCAGGTTCAAGCAATTCTCCTGCCTCAGCCTCCCAAGTAGCTGGGATTACAGGCACCCACCACCATGCCCAGCTAATTTTGTATTTTTAGTAGAGATGGGTTTTCACTATGTTGGTGAGGCTGGTCTCAATCTCCTGACTTCAGGTGACCCACCCACCTCGGCCTCTCAGAAGTGCTAGGATTATAGGCATGAGTCACCGTGCCCGGCCCAAAACTTTCTTCTTTATACTGATTTCACCTGTTAACATTATTATACTTCCACGCTATCTTCTTATCAGGGCAAGGGGAAAAACCTGCTGCAAAGTCACATGTAAATAGAAAATTAGTTTTTATCAAGCTAGGGACTAACTGACTTTGATAATTAGAATCAGGGACCATTTTTTAAAAATCACATACTTCTACTTTTTAAGTTTTGGGTCAGGGGATGCTTTTAAAAAAATTGCTAGTTCTACTACCATTGGGTTCTAGGGTTACTATAGAAATTGAATATCAACTGCCCTAGCAAATAAAAATAATAATGAGGTCTGGGCATGGTGTCTCACACCTGTAATCCCAGCATTTTGGAAGGCCAAGGTAGGCAGGTCACCTGAAGTCAGGAGTCTGAGACCAACCTGGCCAACATGGTGAAACCCCTTCTCTACTAAACATGTAAAAATTTGCTGGGCATGGTGGTGCATGCCTGTAGTCCCAGCTACTCGGAAGGCTGAGTCTGGAGAATCGCTTGAACTTGGGAGGCAGAGGTTGCAGTGAACCGAGATCCCACCACTGCACTCCAGCTTCAGTGACAGAATGAGACTCTGTCTCAAAAATAAAAATAAAAAATAAAAATAAAGAATTAGACCCAAACCAATGATTATTCCATAGGAAAAATAGGAAAACCAGGTGGTAAGAGAACACCTCTCACAACAGAATCTTTATCTGTGAAATAAGGATTCGACCCACAAAAGTGTCTGTTGAAAATTTTCCTCTCTTGGTCCAGGCAGGTTCTCTAAACTCCCAATCCCAAAGCAGTTAATTTTTTCCTGTTTTCTGTAAAATAGATGGCCTTAAAACTCTTTTGTTCTCTGGTGTAGCTTTTCAGAAGGAAATAAGTTTCTTATCAAGAATGAATCTAGCTTCCCCGATTCAAAGACAACCATCTTCTCTATATTGCTCCATATCACAATAACTTTAAGTGTCTTCCTTTTCTTTCTTTCTTTCTTTCTTTTTTTTTTTTTTTGAGACGGAGTTTCGCTTTTACCCGGGAGGCGGAGGTTGCGGTGAGCCGAGATCGCGCCATTGCACTCCAGCCTCCCGGGTTCAGGCAATTCTCCTGCCCCAGCCTCCTGAGTCGCTGGGATTACAGGCACGCGCCACCATGCCCAGCTAATTTTTTGTATTTTTAGTAGAGACGGGGTTTCACTATGTTGACCAGGATGGTCTCGATCTCTTGACCTCGTGATCCACCCGCCTCGGCCTCCCACAGTGCTGGGATTACAGGCCTGAGCCACTGCGCCCGGCCTTCCTTTTCTAAATTAAATGCTGTTCCCTTCAACTTAAGGGCCAGACACTAGGGCTATTCCTTTAGAGGCTTTTGGGCCTCCATAGATTACAAAGGTGGTGCCCTGCCCCAGTTCTTTCTGGACATTTAAAAAGGCATCCACTTTCTTGCCCTCAGGATGACATTCTGGAAACAATGAACATAAATAAGACTGTTAAATAAGCTTCCTTGACGCCTATTCAGTGCAGCTTTCAACTCTTCTACCCTGCCTTGTTCTTTAGATGGTCCTGTAGTCTGGAGGGTAAACTCTTCACACAACCATTCATTCCCAAGCCCTCATGTCCCTGCCACTCCTCCTCCCTCACTTTTTAAGTGTGATAGGGCCTTGATGGGAATACCTCACTTCACCTTTTGTCTCAAGTCCATCTGCTTCCTTCCAGAGCTACAGAGGTAGGCCAGGGCCATCGAGACGTGGCCTACGCCACTCGCATCTTCTGGGGTGTCCCTTCTTCCACCTGTCAACTGAATACCCCTTTCTTAAAGATTTCTCCCTCAGAAGTCCCGTCTCATTCTGAAAGGGGATGAACCAGCTACCCTAAGAGCCCTTTGTCTGAAGCTTCTACACCTCACACATTCTCATCCACAAAGCGTCCCTCCACACATAGCAGGAGGTCGGCTCTCCACAGGGCGTGGGAGACTAGGTTTCTGCATCTGGTAAAAGGATGGGTTATGTCTCAGGTTCTTCCAGGATCCCAAATCCTACAATTCTACGACCAAACCTGTGGGTACTATTTCTGAGGTGGAAAGGGCGAACCCCAAGGCGACCCTCCACTCCGCACGCCTGCAGGCAGTCGGAACGAGCCCCCTCCAGCCCCGGCTCTGAGGGTCCACGCCTCCGACCTTCGGCGCCGGGCCGCAGAGGAGGCCCTGCCGGCTCCGGGTCCCAGCCGCGCCATGCCCTCCTTCGCCTTCACCCGCCGCCGACGGCCGCCTCTCACCTGGCACGCTGGCATCGCCCACCGCGCGCCGCACTGGAGACCATGGGTCCAAAGGGGTCTCGGCGGCCACGTATCTGCCTTCAGGGAGGTTGACTGGGATGCGCGGGCCCCGGAGTCCAGCCCGCCGCCACCGGGAACGCGCAGCCTGGTTTCTAAGGAACGGTGGGCTCTGGAAAGGGAGGGGCGGGATGGCAGGAGGACTGCGCCTGCTCTGTAACGGGGGTGGGCCTGCGCTGGGAGGGGCCGTGGCGGGGAACTGCGCATGCTGGCTCGTTGGGGGCGGGACTTAGGAAGCCTGGCAGGGAGGCTTAGGTTGTTCATTTCCGGCGGCAAAGGCGGCAGAGCCCGCGGTTTCCCAAGCTTGGCTTCTCTCCAGTCCGCCGACTGGCGTCAAGAACCAGGTTTTACGAGTTGTGATTAGCCTTGGTTGTCCTGGAGTGAAAGACGGTTTTTCGTGTTGGATAACGACATATCTGCAGAAGGCCAGTTCTCTTGAATTCGTCGGACATCCTAGCTCCCTGACTCCCAGTGACTCGTTTTTCCGGTTTCTCAGGTGCCTGTCTGGGCTCTTCTTCCTCTGGATGTTTTTTGGTTGTTCCTTAAATATCAGTGTTCTTTCTTCAGTACTGTGACCTCAGTCCCCTTGGCCTCTTTACTGAAGCCTATGCTGCCCAACAAAGTGAATAGCAGACTGTCCGCTAGAGTAAGGAAATGGGTAGACCTTAGTACAAAACTGACTGTGTGGGAAATGTGATTGGGGTTTGCATCTGCATGGGGAGCCCCTGTCCCTTCTTGTCTGACCCTCCTGCTGAGTATCTAGATCCCCACTCAGCTGGCATTAGGATGGTCTCCCAGCCATCATTCCAGAGCAGCCTGTGATGACAGAATATGTCAGCTTACCTAACTAAGCATGAGGCAGTTCCTACTGAGATATGGTAACTAGCAGCAGAGCTATCCCTGCTTTGAGCGGAGGAGGCAGGACTTCTACCACCTCTGTGAGCATGGAAGGCTCCCAGAGTCATGAGAAGTTGTAACCTGTAAATCCCTCCTCTTTTGATGGGGTTTTTATCTCCTCCTTTCCTGGATCCTGAAGAGCCAGGCCGAAGGGAGGCAGAGTCGAACTGCGCCTGTGTTTGATCTGTTTCTTAGTCATTGTTCAGAGTTCCACTCTTGAATAAGATTTCTCAACAGTGGCACTATTGACATTTTGGACCTGATCATTCTTTGTTGGGCAGAGGTGGGGGGAGCAGTCTGCATTGTAGGATGTTTGGCAGCATCCCTGGCTCTACCCACTAGATGCCAGTAGCACCCCAAGCCCAGTTGTGACTACCAAAAATATCTCCAGACACTGCCAAATGTCTCCCTGGGAGCAAAATCACTCTCAGTTGAGAACCACTAGTCTAGAGGAAAATGAGCCTACTCTGGCTTTATTTATATAGAATCAGGACTTTATTGCTTAATCTAAAACCCACATCTTTCCCTCTTTGCTCCCTCTTCCCTAACAGCATTCTATAGAGTAACAGTCTTGTAAGATTCTACTGAGTGATAGTCTATAGTAATGTTAAGTTTGGAAAGTGCAGGGTTAAGCAACACATTTCAACACAGGATTTTGAGCTTTTAATTAGCTGGTGGTGATCACTGTGAACATCCATAAGACAGTTTTCCTAACTTACTGGCCCAAAGAAGAACCCTTTTCCTTTGGCAAACCTCCCAATTCCAGTGACTTTTAGCCACTACGTTTCTCTTCTGTTTTGTGTTATTTTGTGGTACCATTATCCATCTCGTCAGTCCCAACCAAAGTCTACATTTGCCTTGTCTCTTGCTTTTATTTACCTCACATTCAGTTACTCATCTTGTTGTACCTCCATTTCTCTCCTAAATATTTCTCAACCTGCTCTCCTTGCAGTCTCCTACCTGGGTTCTTTTACTCCAGTCTGTCTCCAGTACCACCTCCAGGTGGACACCAGCATGATCTACTGTATCCCTCCTCTGCGTAAAACCCTGGTGCCTTGGGGGCAGGGGAGGCAGGAGTGGGCCAGTCACACCAGTGAGCATCCTTATGGAGGAAGGATGCTCATGTGTACCGTGTGTGTGTCCCTGTGCGCCAAGCACTGCTGTATATCTGTTATAATCCCCTACCTCCACAGGGCAGAAGGATTTACCATGTTTTAAGGATAAGGAAACAGTCTCGGAGAGAGGTAGTAAACAGGGCTGTCTGTGCGAGGATTTTGAACACAAGCTCTTGTTCCTCACACAAGAGGCGGGAAGCTAATTTCAGTACCCGTCAGGTCAGGCTGAGCACTGTGGCTCATGCCTGTAATCCCAGTATTTTGTGAGGCCAAGGCAGGAGGATTGCTTGAGCCCAGGAATTTGGGACCAGCCTGGCCAACATGGTGAAAATTCTCTACAAAAAATACAAAAATTAGCTAGGCATGGTGACACACATCTATACTAGCTACTCAGGAGGCTGTGGTGGGACGATCACTTGAGCCTGGAAAGTTGAGGTAGCAGTGACCCATAATCATGCCACCGCACTCCAGCCTGGGAGACAAAGCAAGACTTTGTCTCATAAGACACCCCAAAAACCAAAAACAAGCTCGCAGAAGAGGTACCTCCAGAAAACTTTGTGCAGTATTTGAGGTGAGCATATTTGGAATGTATTCTTTTTTTTTTTTTTTTATACAGGGCCTTGCTTTGTCACCCAGGCTGAAGTGCAGTGGCATGATCATGGCTCACTGCAACCTGAAATCTCCCAGGCTCAAGCAATCCTCCAACCTCAGCCTCCTAAGGAGGTGGGGCCACAGGCATACACCAACATGCCCAGCTAAATTTTTTGACTTTTTTTTTTTTTTTTGAGATGGAGTTTTGGAGTTTTGCTCATTATCCAGGCTGGAGTGCAATGTGCTATCTCAGCTCACTGCAACCTCCGCCTCCTGGGTTCAAGCAATTCTCCTGCCTCAGCCTCCCAAGTAGCTGAGACTATAGGCGTGCGCCACCATGCCCAGCTAATTTTTGTATTTTTAGTAGAGACGGCGTTTCGCCATGTTGACCAGGATGGTCTCGATCTTTTGACCTTGTGATCCACCCGCCTTGGCCTCCCAAAGTGCTGGGATTATAGGTGTGAGCCACTGCGCCTGGCCCAATTTTTTGACTTTTTGTAGAGACAGGTGTGGGGGGAGACCCCATAAACACCAAGGCAGGAGCAAAAGGCCTCAGCCTATTTCCATATAAATAATGAAGACGAAAGTAACTAGAAATATAACCGTAGTAGTTATTAGTTATTCATATGTGATCTTAGTTATGCGTAGGTGATCTTAATTCTTTTACTAATGCCTCTGAGGTTGGAAGTGTGAACCTGGGGCGACATTGTGAAATGAATGACACTAAGGCAAGATGCTTTAAGCCTTCTGTCATGCCCGCCTAAGGGCTGCTGCAGGGCGCCTCAGCTGTGCAGCGGTGCCAGCGCTGTGAAAGCGCCCCATTTAGCCAGTTAGAGAAGGAGATGTCCAAAATGGCTGAGACGTCTCTTTCTTGGGGAAGTTTGGAGAAAACTCTGCTTCTCCAAGCTCTTGTGGTAGGCCTGATGACTGTCAGGCAGGCCCGTAGACATCTGGGGGTTAACTGTCTCTATGTGATGCTGTGCTTTGGTGGTCACGTTCCATGTCTATTCTCATGTTCTGCTTCTGCACCTGGTTCCTTTTTTCTTAGAAAAGATAATCAGTAATAGTAATATAAATCTTAATGTTTTAGTTCTTTCTTGATAAGTATGGAAAAAGTGCTGATGCATTATGCTTCTTACCTTACTTCGGGTGCCAGAAATTCCTGAGCCCCTACCTGAATGACGTGACGTGCTTGACCCCATCACTGTCACACCCCATCCACCCTGCCCCCAGTCTCCGACCACCAAGACCACACCCTACCTACCCTGTCCCCAGATTTGCAACTCAATAAAAGTGAGAGTTTGTCCTGGCATTCGGAGCCACTGCTGGTCTCCTCGATTTGGGTAGCTGTGGACCCCTGGGCCCAAACTCTCTTTTCTCTCTCTCCATGTCTGTGCCTTTTATATCTACAATTTCTCATCTCTCCACCAATCGGGACGGACTCACAGAACTCTGTAGGGCTGGACCCTACAGACAGGGTCTCACTGTGTTGCCCAGGTTGTTCTCAAATTCCTGGGTTCAAGCGATCCTCCTGCTTTGGCCTCCCAAAGTGCTAGGATTACAGGCATGAGCCACTGCACCTGGCCCTGGAATGCATTCGTTCTTTTTCAGTGTCGGGGGGATGGAGTTTTGCTCTTGTCACCAGGGTCGAGTGCAATGGTGTGATCTTAGCTCACTGCAACCTCTGCCTCTGGGGTTCAAGCAATTCTCCTGCCTCAGCCTTTTGAGTAGCTGGGATTACAGGTACCCAGCACCACACCTGGCTTTTGTACTTTTAGTAGAGATGGGGTTTCACCATGTTGGCCAGACTAGTCTCGAACTCCTGACCTCAGGTATCTGCCTGCTTCGACCTCTCAAAGTGCTGGGATTACAGGTGTGAACCACTGGACCTGGTCCTAGAATGTATTCTTGATACCCTATTTTTGTGGGGAGAAGTTCTTGTGGCCTACCTCTCTTTAGCTGAATTTTTTTAATTTCTTTTTTTTTGAGACAGGGTCTCACTGTGTTGCCCAGGCTGGAGTGCAGTGGCACGATCTTAGCTCACTGCATCCTTGACCTCCTGGGCTCAAGTGATCCTCCCACCTCAGCCTCCTGAATAGTTGGAACCACAGGAATGTGCCACCATGCCCAGCTAACTTGTATTTTTTGTGGAGACAGGTTTCCACCATGTTGCCCAGGCTGTTCTTGAACTCCTGAGTTCAAGGGATCCACCTCCCAAAGTGTTGAGATTATAGGCGTGAGCCACTGCGCCCAGGCTGTTTAGTTGAATTTACTACTTTTTCCTTGCCTAAGATGAAAGTCATTTCAAGAGAGAATTGAGATTTAAGGATCAGTCCTCTCTGGGGTCTTACAAATACACAGTTTCAAGGGTCCTTGAGGAGGCACCCAAGGGCCTGGGCACTTGATAGGCTGGGAAGGGCCCAAATCATTCAGGACAGGATGTGTCACAGAAGGGGTGCCAACCTCAATAAGACTCAAAACAGAGACCAAACACACAACTGCTCATGGATGTGTATTTTAATAAAAATAATTCTGTCAAAATACAACAGGAGGTTTTTTTTTTTAATCTCAAGTACAATTTTAATAGGATGTTTTGTGTTAGAGTTCTCTCCACCCTCCCACACCCACAAGTTTCATGCTAATGCCAAGTATCAACTCTCAAGGACAAAGGCAGAACCAGTGTGCACAATGTGGAGGATGTCTGTTTCAGCTGTAGTTACTAATAGAGGAAAACCCGATGCAAAGGAGCAAATGCCTGAGGCAGCCAGAGGCCATAATCTGGCCACAGGTCTGGGTGCACGAGACTGGTGGTATGGTAGGGCTCCACTGCCTGGCTGCCACACGGTGTGCATACCTGAGTTGTGGGCAACCAAAGGAACTTTCAGCTCTGACAGTTCTCTGCCTCATTTTCTTTGTGCTTGCTTAAGGAGTGGGAAGGCGCCAGGTGGCCAAGCAGTCCCCACTTCTGTCTCGTGGTGTCCCTATATTGATGGCCTGCACCTAGCCATAGACCCATGTGGATAGGGATAGGGGTTCTGGCTTGCTATGAGTGCCCTGCCGGTTTTTGCTCTGGAATGAGTGACCATTTGGTGCCACAAGCAGAAAGTGAGTAGGGAAGGCTGCTCCCCAGGGCTGGACAACCAAAGCCAGGTCTTTCTCCTGCCCCGACAGGTCGGGTCCAGCCCTTTACCAGGGCTCTTCCCAGGTACCTTTACCACTCTAGGCTCCTGGAAGCAGGCTGGTAGGACTGGGTGTGCATAAGGGGCACCTCTGGCTG